TGCTTGAAGCAATCTTTTTAAAGGCATTGCATTTCTCTTCAGTATTCATGTCAGACTCAAGGGCTGATGTAGAACAGCCCACGTCGGAGTCCGACTCTAGATCGTCATCTCGAGACAGATCATCCGCATAGGACTGGTACTCAACCTCCCAATGTTCATGCAGGGCAAGCTGGTTGCTGCTTCCGTACCGCTTGCGTTGTGAGGTTCTACCTGTAGCGGGTGTCTTTGCACGCCTGGTGAGGTCCTTGGCTTCTAGATTGACTAGATCCGTCAGTACCTCACGCCAAGTCGTGTGGTCCTTGAGTCCTAGCCGGGAGACATAGCCTTCAGGTGCCACTCCCATTACATCCATGCAAGACACGTCAGTCCATCCTAGGTTTGGAGTAGTGAACAGACCAGTCAAGTGCTGCTCCATAGCCTGCATGGAAGTCCTCCACTTTTGGCCCTTGAGGGCCTCAAGCTTCAGCCTTGCCTTGAGCGCAGCGTGCTTATCTTGATACTGCGCGATGAGGAGGTCCTCAAGAGTACGTACAGGAGTCACTTTCAGCCACTCAGGTCAGGTCAATCCTCTCGTAACCTGCAGTAACAGCCTGGAGTTCTATGAAACTTCGTACGACGAGCTCATTATTTGTGCCCATGATCATGCTTCGGTCTTCCTGCGGTGTTCGCAGTACCTCGAAGTATGAGCGCATGGAGCTGATCCAAGAGGTGATGTCCCCCTTCCCGTCGTACTTGGATGGCAGCGTGGCCGCCCTCTTGTCCACTACGGGACCGCTGTATTGTACGCCAGTAAGGACTGCGGCGTTTTGGGCTGACGTTCCTGCATTTGGGACTATGACCAGTGCAGAACTGTCGGCGCTGGCGCTTGAGGTGCTGGCACCGGTTCCTGCGCTCGTCGCAGTTCCACTTGCTCTCAACATGAGGACTGTGTTAGGGTGAGAGACTGGGACTGCAGCAGGTCGAGGATTAGGAGGACGGGGGCAGACAGTTGGGATTGTTTGAGGCTGACTATCTCAGCCTGCAGCTCTTGGTTCCGCTGCTCCAGAGCTGTCACACGGGACTCTATATCTTCCAAGGTCCGTTGTCGAACCAAGGCTGCTATAACAGCAGCTAGCTTCTCTTGCAACCGATCATCATTCGATTCTGGAACCTCGAGGAGGGCCACTTGTGCAACAATACTTGTGGCTTTGGCTGCTGCCTCTGCCTCCCTCTCTCTGTGCATTGCGTCCTCAAAGTTTATGAAAGAAAGGTTTCTCGTTCTCGGCCGACACGGACGTGATGTCTACCATGCCGAAGGATAGGGCGTCAGTAGATCTCTCAAGAGGGGTCCGCAATTTGCTCACTTTTGGATGAACACTCCTCTTACCCCTCCTCACACTCTCAAAAAGAACCTCTCTCCCTTCTTTCTCTTTCCGCTTTTTGCGCACGCGTCTCAATACCGGACATAAATAGTTCAGATAAAAAGAAAAGCAGTAAATCACAAAGAGTAGAAGGTAGAACTCTTAGTCGAGCGACAATTCATTTGGACTTAGAGAATGGCATTCACGTAGCAGAATAAAGATACACAAATAAATTAAAAAAAACGAAAGAGAGGACCGACTTATCGAACGGGCCTGATCAGATTAGCTGGAGAGCCCCTCTTGTCTAACCTGACAAGGTACATGTACCACAATGAGTCAACCGAAGAAAAATAACTGCAGCAATGGAGATTTCGAGGGGTGCAGACGATCGCCGAGCCAGAGGCGGGGCAGTATGTGAGAACATGAGGTAAGACCAGTCAAGATCCCCTTGAAAGGAATGTCCTTACTAGCCGTGTGTCCCTCCAAATTCAGCACAGCAAAGAGATGCGTTGACGGCAACAGATTTGGGTCCTAAAGGTCCTGTCCCGTTGGGCCTGGTCCCACTAAGTCCCGAAGGGTCCCAAGCAGGCCGTGGACCAGGACCAACGAGATAGGTGTACCAAGTCAGTCCCAAACTGCCTCTACCATACTGAAAAGGAAACGACAACTTTCAGCAAGAACTTACCCCTACAGCCGTTCAAAAACGAAGGACAATGCACCGTAGAAAGATATGTAATTGAGAACAAGATACATCATCCATCCATCCATCAGGTGAGAAAGCAATCCACATGCTCACACACACAACCAAGACCTCAGAGAAGAGGAAGAGAGCCCAGCACACCCCAACAGGCCATGAAGCACCAAGCAACCACCCACGGGCATAACCAGGTCACACGACACTTACCTGTGAGGCCCGACCTCCAAAAATGGATAACGACTCACCCCCCTCTCTCATAGGTCCTCCTGACCCCTAGCTACCACCACACGAAGTGTCCTGGCATGACTAAGAGGGCCTCCCTACACCCCTGTTACAACGCCGGATCCCCCGTCGATGTCTGAAGACCAAAGCAGCAACTTGCAGCTCTTCGATGCAGATATCGCAGCCTCCGTTCAAGTCTCCCTCTTGATGGGAAGCCCAAAAGTCACTCAATGTCTTCTTGAAGTGCAGATTCCAGGTGTGAGTACCTCTCACTCTCTACTCCTTCTCGCTTACTCCAATCAGCCTCCTTTGTGTCTCGCCACCCCATCCAATCACACAAGCAACCTGGTCAGGTCTCATGTCAACCCTACATGACCTAACCAGGCGGGGGCAGTATCCACATACCTCACTGCCCCTCTTAACCCTAACTTCCAACCCTAATCCGATATTAGGTTAGCCCTAACCTAACTCGGAATTAGGTTTAGGGTGACAAACACCTCTTGCCAGCAAGAAAGTCCGCTCCGATACCAATTGTTACGATCCTGGTCATTCCCAAAGTGCAAATTCACAATGAAAGACAATGCCACCCAATTGCGACAGAAATGAAAGCACTTGCAAAGAGATAGAGACCAAAGAAGAGAGAAAGAAGGGGAAGAAGAAGAAGAAGAAGAAGAAGAAGAAGAAGAAGATGTACACCAACAAGACCAATGACAAATCCCCCTTCTCTCTCCACCTTCCTCCTCCTCCTTCACTTCGCCGATCTTATTCTTCTCCCAATAATAATAATAACAATGAGTGGATGAACCAGAATCAATGTCCGAAGATCCCTCTTACTGCTGACACAATAACAACAACAACAACAAGTCCACCATAGCTATGGCTTTCCTCCTCCTCCCTCTTCTCACATGCCTAGGCTATGGCGGACTACTGAGGGCCCTGCCCTCCTGTTCAAAGGACAACCCAAAGCTGCTATGGCGCTGCACTCCTGTCCAAAGGACAACCCAAAGCAGCTATGCCGCTGCTGACCAAGGCGCCATGCCTGACTCTACCTCGAGCTTCCTTGGTGCGGCACTACCCCAACTGGGGCCTTCCAGATGCAGCCTCCAGCAAGGTGATGAAGATGGTGTCCACCATAGCCAGGTAGGTGCATCGCCACCCTCCTCCTTCGCCCCCTTCTTCCTCCTCCTCAAGCTGGGCTGCTCGCCATAGCCAGGCTGAGCGCCCAGCTGCCCTTCACCTCCAGGCAGCGCTGCACAAGTCCAGCGCTTGGCTCAGCAGCATGTCGCCAATCCTTGCATACCGCAAATGAGGAGGAGCTGCTTGCTCCTCCGAAAGATATAGCGGCATACTGGCCTCTTGGGCGGTGACTTCCTAGGCCTCCCAGCAACCGGTACCTCCTCCCTTTCGGAGGGAAACATCATTGCAGGCTCTGCTGTCGTCTGGACAGGCCCTAGACTCAGGCTACTTAGACTGGTACTGGCCTACCTCTATCCTACCGCTACTGGGCCTCTAAAAATGCCAACTTTTTGTCTTCTTCTGCTCGGCCTCCTGTACCCGACATTCCTACCACTACTTGAGTGGTACTGGCCTACCTGCTACTTGAGTGTTTTTCCCCGCTGCTCTAAGTGTCGCGGGCCTACCCCCGCTACATGAGTGTTTTCCCCGCTGCAACCCTCAAAGTCACGGCCACAGGTAAGTACCGGCCCTACGGGGCCTTTCAACCAACAAGTACCCTTTCGGGTCACACACACTCAACCGACAAGCACTCAGACAGGCATGCAAACCAGCAGGCACGCACACACACACAGACTTGGAAACCACAGCAGAATGCGGGAATCTCAGCAAAGCATCCATTCCAATGGCAAATCCCAGAAATCAGCACTGTTCTCAGTCTGTGTTTTGGCGGGTCATTACAATAATTTTAACTCATTCTTTTTTTTTTTCAAAATTTTTGTAACTCAAAATATTCTAGAATTAATTAAATTCCTTTTTCGACATTTCTTTTCCGAAATAATCTCTAATTAATTATTTTTCGAAAATTTTAAAATTACGTTTTCCTTCCTCGAACTTCAAAAATAATTTTCATTAATTGTTTTCCACAATTTTTTTTTAAGTAAGTTCTTTTCGTTCGAATTAATGAATTCTTTCTCAACATTGCTTTTTTCTTCTCTTTTCCGAGACTACTTTTTCGTTCAAATTAATGAATTCTTTCTCAACATTGCTCTTCTTTTTCTTCTCTTTTCCGAGACTACTTTTAATACTTTTGGAAATACGTTAGAAATTGGAATTAATTTTTGATATTCCCTTTTTGAAATTTGACAATAATTTTAATTAATTAAATTTCCTCATATATTTTAATTCCTAAAATTCCTTTTTGCAATTTTTCTTGAAATTCGAAAAATTCTTTTTCGCAATTGTTTTTCAAAATTCTCTTTTTATTCAGAAGTACTTCCTTTTTTTTTTTTTTTTGAGCTCCTTAACTAATTTCGACTGAGCTCGATTCATTCACGACTGACTTAATCTCTTTTACTCGAAATTAATCACCCCTTTTCAAAATTATAAAATTTCCCCGAACGTGAATCCGAATAAATTTTGTCAGAATTTATTTTTCTCGGAATTTATTATTTCTTTTCATTTGGAAATTCCTGAAAATTTTGCTTTCCTATTTATTGAAAAATACACTCTCGAATTAATTTCAAACAAATTCAAATTAATTTATTCAAAATTAATTCTTACTCTGCGATTCTCTGCTACCTTCATTGTTAAATCACTTGATGACGCTCTATTCTTGTAAATAGGAATTGTCCCCCCCATCTCCACATGCCACCACACCAAACCACGACCTCCCAACGCGCCGCCGTCGCCGCCGCCTCGCTGCCGCCGCCACTGCTATCACATTCGCTGCTACCGCCTCCACTTCCACTCCAGTCACGTCATCCATCCCCTCTTCCCCCACCATGGCCCAATCTTCCATCAACATGTCTGATCTTTGTTTCGACTCCGTCAACAGCAATGCCCGTGAACTCGCAAACGATCAGCCAACTTCGACCACCACCACCCCGAAACTCGGAACTATCCTCCAAACGTTGACCGCCCTCAAATCCTCCCTCGCCACGATCAACACCACCATGGCCGCCATCTCTGATCGTGTCACCACGCTCGAGGGAAACTTTCCCACCATCACGGTTGTCACCACGACCACACCCCGCTCCTCCACACCCCAACCCACCCCCTCCATCCAGGTGGTCACCACCAACACCCCCATGTCCACAACCGCCTCCAGCCACACCCCCCTACCGACCTCCTCCACTCCTACTACCTCTACCACCACATCCACCACCTCTGCCTCCTCCACCCTTTCCCCCCCCTCATCCGGCGCTTCCAGCACACCGCCTCATTCCTCGCCTAACCACAACACCCCCCTTCCTCCCCCGCACTCCCATACTATCTCACAACACATCATGATGACCTCCACCATCCCCACCCCCCGTCCCACCTATTCCCAAGTCACCTTCGGGGTTTAACCCGCAATGCCACAACTTCCCCCCAACTACCTCCTTGACGACAACAACCATTTCGATTACACCTGCTATGACACTACCCCCGATAACCTCAACTTCAACACCCTCGCCCGGATCGTTTCCCGGGAAGGGGAAATCCCCCGTTCCTTCCGATCCACTGACATCATGGCCTTCTCCGGCCTTCCCCACGAGGACGTTTTCCTCTTCCTTACCCAGCTCCAGAACTCTTTCAAGCTCCACCACATGCCCCTTGTCCACTGACTTCCCATTGCCACCTCCCGCCTTCTCGACAATGTCGCCAAATGGTGGATGGCCGAAGTCAGCATCCGCCGCGCCTCCGAAGGACCGTGCCACTCCTTCCTCCAATGGGCCAACCTTCTCACTGTCACCTTCTGCCCCCAGAAAACCATCGATGACTACCTCAAACAATTCTGTCACCTCCGCTAGACCGGTCCCAAGGACCGCTTCGTCCAATACATCCGCTCCCTCCGCCATCACCTCCCCACCACCATCATTCCCGACTTTGCGTTCATCTCCCGCATCAAGCGAGTATGCCATAAAGATCTTGCAAACGCCCTCGCCCACGAACCCGACATGCCCCTTGCTGACCTCCTCTCTCGCATGCTTCACCATGATCGACTCCTCCACCCCCATCACCAGTCCGCGCCCACTCCCTCCCGCCCCCGCTCTTCCATAACATCATCCCTGACGACAACACTCCACCCACCTCCGATAACGACTTCGACAATACCTCTCTCGACCCCTCCCAATTCACCATTGAGGACCTCCAGGCCGCCCACCTTATGCGGATGGAACGCCACGATCGTGCCTCCCGACCGCCTTCTTCCTCTCCACCCCGCCGTCTCCAAAAACTTACACCCGCAGAATGCATATACCTCCAGGAACACAACGGGTGTTTTCGTTGCCGCCAATAAGGTCACCAACAGACCAACAACCCCAACGCTAGGCGCTTTACTCGGCAGGCTCCTCGCTCTGCAGGACCCGACCCTTCTACTCCCACTTCTTCCTCCACCACGACAGTCGGGCCCTCCTCCACCTGAACACTGTCCCCCTGTCCCTTGCAATCCTCCCCCGACATCGACCACTTGTCTGCCGGCTCTCCCATCGGTGACGATCTCCCCTCCACCGGTGACGCACATCCCCAACACACGTGGTCTCCGTACCCAGCTCCTGGCCGAGCACCACGACGCCAAGACCGCAGGTCATCTCGGTTTCCAGAAAACCTTCGACACCATCTCCCGCCACTTCTATTGGCTTTCTCTACTCGCCGACATCAAAACATACATTTGCTCATGTCCACGTGTCAGGCTGTCAATCCCTCGAACCGGGCCAAACCCGGTAAGCTCCAATCATTGCCCCTCCCCACTCACCGGTGCCAGTCCATTTCCATGGACTTCGTGTGCGGTCTCCCTAAGACCGATCGTGGGCATGAGTGCATCTACGTCTGCCGCCTGACCAAACACACCCACTTCATTCCTTGCACCACCTCGCACACCGCCAAAGACATCGCCTTACTCTTCTTCGACCATGTTGCACGTCACCACGGCCTCCCCTAGAATATCATCAGCGACCGCGATCCCCGTTTCCTCTCACAGTTCTGGAAACAACTCTTCAACGCCTACGGAACTACACTCAAGTATAGCACTGCATTCCACCCACAGACCAATGGACAAACCGAGAAGATGAACGATACTCTTCAAAGAATCCTACGGAAGTACTGTCATCCACATCAACAAGACTGGGATCAGTTGCTCACCGCCGTCGAGATCGCCTACAACAACGCTATCTGTCCTTTCACTGGCTTGTCTCCATTCTACCTTGACCTTGGCTACCATCCGCGATTGCCCTATGATTTCTTGCTTCCCTCGCAACTCAACCCCTCCACACCCTGCCCTTCCCTCAATGAGTGGGTAGCAACAATGAATCGACTCCCCAGAGAAGCAACCGAGGCCCTCGAAAGAACACAAGAACAACAAGCAAACAAGATCAACAAACACATACGAGACTTGCAATTCAAAGTAGGGGACAAAGTTTGGCTCTCCGCCAAACGCTTTGAACCCGAACATGGATTGTCAAAAAAACTCTCGAACAAATGGCTCGGACCCTTCCTCGTCATTGAAAAAAACTCCGACGTCAACAACAAACTCCAACTCCCCCCCGAGATGAGCCGCAACCTCCCGGTCTTCCACGTCGAATACTTGAAAGAATATCATGAATCCCCACCCCAATTAGCTGACCACCCATATCCTAGACCTCCACCTATCATGTTACCCACATGCCCTGAATTTGTTGTTGAAGCAATCATAGGTCGACGAACTACTCAGGTATCTGACCACCCGGAACCAATCACTGAATACAAAAGTCAACTGGACCAGATACCCCCACGAAGAATCTACATGGGAACCTCTCTCGAATCTCAAGAATGCCATGAAACTTGTCCGCGCCTATGATCGTGCTCTCCTATGTCCTAGACACCCACGTAACTACAACCCTAAGCCCCTGTATAATCCTTGCTACAACCTTGCAACCCCGTTCTACACACACCCTTGAACCTAGTCCACCCCCCCCTCGACCCCGATTCCTGATGTTTGATCTGCCCTTGCCCTCGCCTAGCCTTGTCCCATTTGTCCTCTCCACTACCTTGTCTCTCTTGTCCAATGCTTATGAACCTGCGTAACACCGGCGATAAAGGATCTAATGGCAAGCGCATGAGGACGATGGCCTACTGCCTCACTGTTCATGGAGATTATGCAGCTGGTTTGGCCACCATGTTGTTTCATCGACCGACATCCCGACTCGCGGACTTACTGGAGCAGCAACTTGTGGCATGGATCTTTGCATCAGTCTGCGACTTCCTTGCTTCCAAATCAGACCTCATTGCAATTCGTGTACCAGACGCACCTAACACTTGGACTTTGGACATTTGAACTTCTGTTACGCTTCTTGGACTTCTACTTGTCGCAGCCGTTGAAGACCGCTTCAAACACCTACTCCAAGACCTGATCAAGACCGCTGCAGATCCCCTTTCAAGACACTTGGAGACTTTGTTCCTACATGAGATTCTGCTTCCGACTCCTTCGGACACACCAGCCCTTGCATCCTGAACAAACATTTTCATTTTGTTAACTTTTTTTCTCTGAACATCATTAGCAGATCCCTGTTTCCCTGACCATTGTTCCCCTTACCCACTAGAACATCAATAGAAATTCCCTGTTCCCCTGACCATTGTTTCCCTTACCCACTAGAACATCAATGGAAATTCCTTGTTTTCCTGAACATCGTTTCCCCTACCCAGTAGAACATCAATAGAAATCCCCTGTTCCCTGAACATTGCTTAGCTTCCCCTATAGACCCACCCAGTTACATCATACCTTCACCTGTGTAGAACAGCAGACAGAATACCCTGTGACTTGCATCACTCCCCTTCTACTTCTCCGACCATTGATCGGCCCAGTCCCGTCCTTCACAACTCCTTTTGTTTCCTTGGCTTTTTGGCAGCCCAGACGTTGCCTTTCAGAGGGAGGGGATAGTGTTACGGACTCCGCCAGGGCTCAATCTCTGGTCTATCTTTTTCCTGTTTCTGCTGCATCCCGTTTTCGGCCTGGCACCCTTTTTTCCAAACCCCTCCTTTGGTACCGTCGGATTTTGGACAACTGGCGCCATGCTGCAATTCAGGCGCCACTTTCAAATACCGCATTTTTCAGTTTTGCCCTCGGGGCTTTTGCGGAAATGCCCCTGGTACGGCTTTTGTGAAAATGCCCCTGGTACCGTATGTGTCACGGGTACTTATACCGGCTCCCCGTACAGGGCGCGGACCAGTCTCGTACCAATTTTCAGCAGTTGTACTCGTACTCATTGTGACTTGCTGTTTCCGCATTCAGAATCCAAGACTTCGACTTTGTGCCCTTGCCACTGTGTCTGCGTCCGACCCTCAGTCGTGTCGAGTGAGTGAGTGTGTGCGTGCGCTCTCACTCTCTCCCTCTCTCTCTCCTCTCCCTCGGCTCTCGCTCAGCCTCGCGCTCGTCACATTGCGGCTAATTTGACCAAGCTTCAATGCGAGGATCGGTCGTTCGACTTTGCTGAAGATGCGCGGGCTTCATTTTCGGCCCTTAAAGCTGCCTTGCTATCTGCGGAGGTTTTACGCATCTACGACCCGCTTTTGCCGACGCGTGTCACTACCGATGCATCGGGCTATGGCGTTGGTGCCGTCCTCGACCAACACGATGGCATGGACTGGAACCCCGTCGAGTACTTTAGCAAGAAGTGCCCGCCATGGACTCGATTCCAATGGGTAATGGTGAATAGTACTATTGACCGTTCAATGGCTTTCATTGACCAGTTTGACTTCTTCGCCGATCACATTCTGGGAAAGTCGAACCGTTTGCGGACGCCCTTTCACGGCGCCCGGACCTTTGTACCGTGGTCTACTCGACGTTCGAGGTTGACGACGACTTGCAGGACAGCTTCATCCACGGCTATCAAGTCGACCTCGAGTTTCACGACAACTATGCAAATTGCTCCTCTCCAAATCCGACGCCATCACATTATCGGACCCAAAAAGCTATTTGCTAGTCCACTAGCAGGGGAAGGATCTTCCTTGCCTGCCAAGTGACCCGCACTTCCATATGCGGCTTCTTGGCAAGTTCCACGACGCTCCCGCCACCAGACACTTTAGCGTCAATCGTACGATTGGCCGACTTCGCGGGCGTTTTCGGTGGCCCAACGTTCTCGGCGACGTCACACGCTATTGCGAGTCATGTGAGGTTTGCCGGCGTTGCAAATCCCACAATCATCGTCCGTTCGGCGAGTTGCAACCATTACCGATCCCTCTAGGACCATGGGAATCGATTGCCATGGACATCACCGGACCGTTCCCCAAGCACAAGACCGGTGTGGATGGGATTCTCACGGTGGTCGATCGACTCACCAAGTTCGCCGTCTTTTTGTCTTGCGGCAATCGATTCCCATGGCCGAGGTTCTTTACGCCGGTTGGATTCGTACCAGGGCTACCCCAAAGAGATCGTTTGCGACCACGACACTCGGTTCATGTCCAACTTTTGGTTGGCTCTCATCAAACAATGGGGCTCTTCTCTCAAGCCGAGTTCGGCTCGCCACCCACAAACCGATGGCCAAACGGACAGTGCGCATCAAACCGCAGAGGTTCTTCTTCACACTCTCATTTGTCCTAACCAAAAGGATTGAGTTGAGCGGCTGTCGGACATCGAGTTGGCTTACAACTCGTCCCTTCATCCAACTATCAGGATGTCGCCCTTCGAGTTCGAGCATGGCTCGCCGATCACATCGTCATTGGACACTATCATCCCACGAACAACCGAGAGTGATGACCACCTTATTTTGATTCGACGGATGCAAGAGCTCCTTGTCAAGGCACGCGACCAGATGTCGAAGACGCAGCAACGCATGAGCCATCAGGCCAATCGCCAGCGTCTTCCTCGTCCATTCCGCGTCAACGACCTTGTTTGGGTCTCCGCCGCGGAATTCAGCCTCGAACATGATATTTCTTGCAAGCTCCTTTTAAAGTGGATGAGGCCTTGGCGCATTGTGGCACCCGCTGGTGAGATACCCGAAGGACCATCATTTGTCATTCACGTCCCCGCCCACTTGCCCGTCTACCTGGTCTTTCATTGTTCGGAGTTGGCACTTTCCCGGACCCTCCGTGGACGCTTTTCAGGAGGTTGGCGACACATCATTTCACAGCGGCGCTACGACACCAAGCTGACGAAGTACCTAGTACACTTTCCTTATTGTAGCCATAAGGCTGACCGTTGGTTGACCCGTGCCGAACTTCGGGCCACAGCCCCTGATGTCCTCGCACGTTACGAACGCAAACAACAAGGCAAGCCGGCACCTTCGGCTCCACGCTGTACTTGCGTCCAGGTTCCACCTTCGGATCGTCAGCTTCGCCCCTGTCTCTTATACACATCTAGATGTGTATAAGAGACAGCGTCCAGGTTCCACCTTCGGATCGTCAGCTTCGCCCTTGACCCGGCTTGACTTCATAAGGAAGGGGGGGGGGTTGCATGCTGAGCCCTGCACACCTGTCTCTTATACACATCTAGATGTGTATAAGAGACAGGTTCTATGCTGAGCACACGGGCCCCATTTTGGGGGCCCGACGGTCGCTGGGGGCCCTTAGGCCGCACGCCCCTCAGACGCGTGCCCCGGAGGCCCACGACCGGCCTTAGGGCCGCAGGTTTCGATTTGAGGCAGCATTCATTCATTTGCTGTCCTACTTTTTGTCTGTTCAGGCGTCGTTTCGGACTTGCAGTTCATCCGAACAGACCTTCGGTCTGTTCAGACAAAGGCCACGTTTTTGGCCTGGTACGGACGTAGGCAGGCCCTGTTGGGCCAGGTCCATTTTCGTCCAGTAGCGGACATCCCTGCTGCATCAGCAGGGAGGGTCTGGAGGTACGGTCGGGACCCAGACCCAGTAGGCCACGTTTTCGGCCGAAGACCAGAGGCACATGGAGGCACACCCATGAGGCCCAGCGCTACTTATAGCTGGGCCACGCCTGGGCAGACACAGTTCGAGTAGCTCACTTCTTGGGCGACACCCTGCTGGAGCAGGGCGACACAGCGCTGCGTTAAAGGTAGAGGTGTAGGTAGAGCGAGGGAGGCGGAGGCCATACCAGCATCGGCGGTACTTACCTGGGCGCCATAGCTGGGCTCTGCACCAGCGACCTGCACAGGGACACCACACAGTCAGTACATTGCAGCAGTTACCTGAAGGTGAGACAGCGAGGAGGACGACATCTCATTCTTCTTGTTCGTCTCGCCCTCCATCTCTTCTCCCTCCTCCCTTCTTCTTCTTCTTCTTCTTCTTCTTTCAGAGAGGGAGAGAGGTTACAGGCAGAGGTAACATCATGCCGTGAGGCCCAGGTTCTGATTCAACATTTTGTGGCAGACATTGATTGGACATTCGGCAGGAAGACTATTTTTGGACTTCGCTATCACGATTTTGGTCTTCTCCCTCACCTCCATCTTCATCTCGCCTCTCCCCCATCTCTTCATCTGTGGTATCTCCCCCATGTGCGCGTGCAAGGAGGGACCTTTCGCCCATGTATGCGGTCCCTCCTCTCTCTCTCTCACATGTGTGGTGTATGATGGGGTGTCGAGTCGGTATCTGACAGGTCAGGTCATATCTGTGAGTCTTCCGCTGCGCTGCATTGTACTATTTTCATACGTATCTGGATGTGCATTGTTGTTGATGGTTTGCTGACACTGCATTGTCCATTCAAGTCCTTTTCATCACTTTGCGGATCATTGGCTCCCCATACGGCGCTCAACTGAGCATGTATCAGTTCTGTCTCCCTCTCTCTCTTGTCTTGCTTCTCTCTCTGACTTGGCTCGCTCTGCCTCTCTCTCTCTCTCTCTCTCTCTCTCTCTCTCTCTCTCTCTCTCTCTCTC